CAGGAAATTGTTAGTTATGCACCAACCCTCATCAGGATGTATTGGAGTAAACCCACAAAAAGTATCAGCGAAAGAAAATCTACAAGACGGACAAAACCAAAACCAAAACCCAAACCAAAAAATAAGGTTAAAAATCCCAATAAAGAAAAACAAAATATTGCAAATTCACCTGATGATGTTTCTAATGTTTCTAATGGTGCAATAAATTCAACTCGATTCTCTTATGATGTGTCAACGTGGACTCGTGAAGCATCAGGATCTCAAGTTAATGATCGTGCTAATACTACTAATAATGAAGATTGCTGGGAAAATCTTGCAACAATCGCAAATGTTTTTCTCGATTATGCTACTAGTCAACTCTTGATGCTGGTGATTTGGTACGTATGCCAACGAAGTTTAGTAAACTTCCATAATTACTATGTAATAACCCCGTTCTGAGTGATGCATTTCATATTTAGGAACGATGGTAGTAAAAGCTATCATACAGCTCAAGAAGTACATCGAAAATGCCCTCGTCAGGTAATTTTATTAAAAATCTTTTAGTTTTTAGTTATTATAATTATTCTAATGGGTCTATTAACAAAATTTGTAGTTGATTAAATTTTACGAAGGTCATTTACATTTTGAAAAGATGCGAATTGACAATTAGGAATTTAATGATTTTAATGTAATTCACATATTTTCGTGTACACTCACGTTAACGAAACATTCTAACAAAAGTATTGAGAAAGTATATTTGCAAGTTATCACATGATACGATATGAATTAAGTACTTAACGTCAGGGACGTGAGGATCTTGCGATTTATGGTGTTTCTGCAGTAAATCACAAGATCCCCACGTGCTTCACGTTTGTACTGTCTATACAATATTATCGATATTATAAAGAAATAAACGAAGTAATTCACACTCCAAATCCCTAAATTTATCTAAAGCATTCGTCATATATTGGAGGGATAGTGCTGTTTTTAGTTAAGGTGTGGTAAGTTTCAAGCTCTGATTGAAACTGATCCTTCCAGCTAGATTTACCAAAACTAATGTTGCTACGTCAAGATGGCTTATCGGCGCTTTATTTCATCATTGATCATCTATTACTAAATAATGATCGTTTTTTTTCTTTGCCATATTTCAAAAAGAAAGCTAGACCAGTTGGTACTTCGTAATGCCATTTTTGTACACTATTTATAAATATATATTTTTCTTTTGATTTTTTGCTTGTATTGATAATAACTGATCATAAAGAAATGATTATCTATGATAATCTACTTTCATTTTATTTAATTTGCGTTAATTTAGTAGATTAAATCGTATATCAAATATTTGAAATTTTATCTTTTACCAATAGTTGACCGATCACAATTTTTTTTCTTTAGAATCTAAATGTTAAAGATTATATTCTTCTATTATACTAAATCTGGGGATGGGGCTAAGGTGTCTGGCATAGTGACAAAGGCATGCCAAATTTGTTAGACTTATAGTATTATGATTATTAATAATACAATTATGGTATGCCAAAAGGCACAAATTTTGACAAAAGGCATGCCTGTGGCATGCCAAATTTTTTTTTGCGTGCCAGACACCCTAGATGGGGCTATATATTATATAGTCCCATCCCCTGCTTTTGCTGTGGGCGTTCCCATTTATAACTGTCTGTCCGGAATAAAATGAAATTGATCGGTCAATTAAAAATTTCATGATCTGTATTGCAAGCACGGACACAAGGACGTGCCAGTCTACTATTTTGATAAATAAAATTTTAATTTAAATTTATAATCAAACGCTATCTCCAGTTATAATACATAGTGTAGTATTCGTAGAATAGAGAACTTATATTTGATATTAAACTTTTGATCACATTTATTTCGATATAAAATACATGCGAGTTATAGGATTTGCATGCTAGATTAGTGGAGCAAATTCAGCAGATCGACCAAAATTTAGGGTCGAAATAGGCCGGAGTTGATAAATTTCTCCCAAAATCTTATTAATAAAATGGTAGCCCACGTACTAAGTAAAGCTGCTCAGATAATAATTTTGCTGTAGTATTGTTGACTGGTATTATTGCTTAACGCCGGCCTAGCTTCGGGCCTATTCGGTTGCTCCACTAATCTATCCGTTTCACCCTGTCGTATTATCATTATCATGCGTCTCTGTTACTATTTAACGCGTAAATAATTTTAGATTTAACGCAACTCGACTTTAAAATTTTATTTAACATCCAAAAAATTTATACTTTATTTGCAACGATATTAACATAATACTTTCAAATTACCGTATCCACCCTCATTTTTTTTTACTAATTATTTTCTTTTTTTACTAGTTAATTTTTTGGTGGAATGTAAAAGACTCAGGTCTTGTATACGGCAGTTTACAGTATTTTTTATCATAACATTTAACATAAACCTTTTATTTACAATAACATTTAATATAAACCTTTTAAACCTTTTAATGCTGTTTGATACAAAAATTTATTTACGATAGCTAATATAAAACTTCAAAATGTTACGCCTTCTAAGCGATAGCTTCGGAACGATCGAACTATTATTGTTTGCAAGATGTGCCAGATACATATATGATTTTAGTACTGGCGGCGACTCGGAACTCAAAGAAAGAGTGGGATTTTCAGTTGACCTGCGTAGAAACCAATGGTAGTCATAACTAGATAAGAGTAATCGAGGAAACTTAAGTGCCTTAGAAATCACATGTCAATACGCGATAACGAGAACCTTTTAAGTTGATGCCGAGTATTATTCCATAAACGGATTCTTGTTTATAAAATCCGTAGACCATTTTCGTTTCCAAGTTATATTTTTCTGGCATTGTCTTTCTGAATTGATCTGTATTTTCAGATTATTAAAGTCATTTGGGTTTAACAGCTCTTTTGCTTCTGCTAAAAATTGATCACACCAGGACACGTTAAGGTCTGCCAGGTAAAAGTAGATGTTGGAGTAAAGAAAACCATTTTAAAAAATATCCCAACATTCTTTACCATAAAATGTTCCATAATCTGAATACGCGCAACCATTGACAACAATGGACATTCAGCAAAATACCATGAGTGTGATGTGGGTTCTTTTGCTCGTATTATACTGTGTAATTTTTAATCTCATTATTTTTATCGTTATCTTGATTTTCAACTGAAACAACAGCTCTATCTGGACCTTTGTAAACATATTTGTAAAGATATTTAACAGATTTAATGCTAGAACATATCTCTACATTGATACTACACGTATTCACCCAGGGTTACTACCGTTAAAAGTAAAACCTGGAAGTCCAGGAGCAGGCGTCAAGTTAATATTGTCGTGGTAAAATACAGTACGTGGGATCTTTGTCGAATTCCACTCAGAAAACGTACTCACTTTGCTTTATACTTTTATTGGAGCATCGTTAAGGTCCTATCCACCTTCACTTCAACAACTCCTTCTCGACAGCACAAGGTAAATTACTCGGTGTATATTTAAACTTATCTATTATTACATTATATTTGTCTTATTAGAGAATCGTATCTCTTTTATAATACAAGATTATCTCCGGATCAGGAACGGTGATTTTTCTGTGGTGGTTAAGACTAAATTCTGTATGTGGTTAAGATAAATTCTGTGATTTAATGTGATAAGCTTTTTACTAATTTCTGTGCAATTCTGTGATGCTATTTTATTCTTTCTGTGATTATAAATAAAAACTAGCTAGTGTTTTTTTTTCTACGTAGTACCGACACGGAAACCGGAGAATTATTAATAATTTGTATAAGTTAATGTAAATCTGAATATAAATTTTATTGGCCAAAAATCAATCGGCAAATGTTTATCAGGTGTTACAGAAATTTTATAGATTATGGAACACCTGGTAAAAAATTAGCCAAATGATTTTTTGGCCGTTTCGATTAAGTTGGTAATTTCGGTACAATTGGTATATAAAAGCTGCTTTTGAATACATGTAACACTTACTACAGAGCGTTAGAACGTTAACATACTCATTAAATTTTCGTCTGGATGTTTATCCAATATATACAAAAATGAAAAGAAGCTTTTGTTAACCAATAAATTTAGCAAGAAAGATTAATAAAATTCTGAATAAACATATTACACAAACGACCACAAATATTAAAAGATAGTATATACTAGCTGTAAACCCGGGCGTTGCTCCGAGATAAAATTTAAATTTTTATAATTTTTTTAAATTTTGATTTTTTTAATTTAATCTGTATTATAGGTGCAAACATATGATGAGGTTATAATGTCAATTGGACGTAACTCAATGACATTATGATGCGTCAAAAGGCCATAACTGACGCATGCCGTAACATTTGACTTGTGTCGTAAAATTTGACTTTTGCGCAATATTTTATTTACATATATAGTAACTTCTAAGTTACATCTGACTTATGCCGTAACATTTCTACGTACTCATCTTTATTTACCATTACGTCTTAACATTTGGCATGAAGTACAAAAATTTATACTAATATTCTCGACGCTATAAGAAGAATATATAAGCTTAGTCAATATTCTTTTACCATTTTATTCACTATAAAATATTTGACTCTAACTTTGTAAAGTATAATAAGTATATTATGTAGTTACTGTCGTTGTTATTGTATATAAGTTATGGAATAAATTCTTGGATTGATCGTTTAATATAACCAGCTTTATTCGTAATTTTCTATTTGTCTATAACATAATAATTTATAGTTTTGTGCGTTGCTGTAAACTTTTTATATTGCCATAACTAAGTAACGACAAATATCAGATATTATGACCTACGTCGTTACGACACTTTTGACGTGACGATACGTCAATTGGACGTAGCCATACGTCTGCATCTATAATCTGTATACTTTTCCAGGCAAATTTGTCTAGAAATTTATTATAAATATATTAATAATCTATTTTTTTCAAATTTAAAAATATTTAAATGAATTTATTTTAATAATATTTAAAAATAAAGATTACTTTACTGAAACTTGCAAATTTGCAACTTTAAC